CGGAAGTTTAATTTCAATGGCATAACTTTTCTCATATTCTCTTCCTAACTTCGCGTTGATATTATTTGTATTTGTTTATGTTTTTATTGGGATTCCAAGTACATACTTGAGAAGTCTTTGTAAATGTCGTCGTTCCTGTTTAGGTATATTTATAGCATACTAGCCGTTTCGCACAGTTCTGTTTTGCCTATACGAAATTATAAGGCTTCGATCATGTATGTATGTATGTACACATTAAACTATATAAAAACTATTTTTATTATGTGGTTTATTTAAAAATAAAAACCTTTTCATAATTTATAAATTAATTTTGGAGGTTCTTTTTCATAATCAATCGATCTATCATAGCCCACTGCTGGGAAAAAGTCTCTCTTAATTGCTTCTATCTTGCATGATTTCTGACCAAGCTGTACTAGTCTTTGTAGAACCGATTGAGGTCATCTATTTATCACATACAAGGTTTATTGCGACTATTTTTATTTTTCAGAGAGCCAAAATGGGCAAATTTTGGTCTATTTGTCGCTTGGCATATGACTCGAATATATATTTTGTCTAAGATGTAAAAATAACCATGTTTTGTTGTAATGCATATAAATAACCCTTGATCTGACCACCTTCTGGGAAAATACAGCCAAATAGAGAGCTTTTGGTGTCAGAAACATGTGATTACATTAAATCCAATATTCTCGGCTGATTAGTTTATATACCAAGAAACTTACAGTAAATAATCGATTTAACACCAACAACACTCTAATTACGTGTTAACAATCAAAATCAAACAATAATAATATAGATTTATGGATTGTGGATACAAAAATTGTAGTAATTATAATCCTAGCCATTATTTAGTCAGTCTTTCGGTTGACGGTCATGTGTACATTCATAATTGCCGACCAAATCGTATAGTAGGGCGTTAGAAAACGCCACAAGCCTTTTCCTTTTTTAAAGTCGGTTAAATTGAATTGCTAGTTTAGTCGTATTATAATTCAGCTTAAAAATATATAGGCTTTCAATTTATCTTTTTTTTTATACAACTTAGAATGGCAAACAAGCTGACGGCCCACCTGATGTAAAGTGGTAACCGTCGCCTATAGACATGAGCAGTACCATGGACATAACAGAGTATACTGTTTCGCCCATGATACCCCCTATGTGTTGTCATTCCTGAGGACTCAGGTGTTATTCCTCTGTACCCAGTAAATTTATGTCATATTCCACCCTTCAAACCGAAACACAGCCATGCAAACACAACTGCTTCACGGTTGAAACACGAATAGGACAGAGGTACCCAAGCAATCGACTTTTGTACAGTCTTCCTCTGGTCTAGTCTGTATCTTTTAATGGGTGAAAATGAAATAGTGATTCCGCTTGTGCTTAAGGTAGGTAAGGTATACATTGGTGGGGCGCCGATCTGGGATGACAGGTGAGGATGAAGCAGGTTAGTTGGCGAACCATAACGAATTCAATAATATTTATCTATGATCTTATAGGGTTTATTGCTAGCAATAGGTTTGCTAGTACTCATTGTATTAACTGCTACTACTTTGTAATACCAACAATATTATATGATAGGGATTAGTGATTGTTAAGTAGTGAGATCCAACAGACCCATTACGCTGACAGTCCACCAGTAAGGGTTGATAGCTAAAGATGAAACTCGTAGCAGGTAAGTTGGCTCATCGTAACGAATTTTATAAGAATTAACCACGATAGTTTTTGGGAGGAACTGAATGGAGGTCGACCCGAATATATTGTTAATAATGTAATTGTAATACCCCATTGATAATAATCCCTTTTTCCCCACTTCTTCCCCGTCTTTATGTTGTAATAGACAGATAGCCTAAGCCCATCTTCTAGGAACATACATACGCAAAATATAGATTAGAGAGTCTATTTATATTTGGTTTAATTAAATTCCTGCCTTTTTTTGTATTACAAACATACATATCGTACATCGTCGTGTATTGTAATCCAGAAATTATAAGAATTTATATAGTTTTGTCTTAGATCGTAACTACTGTTACGACCTAAGACGAAACTATACGAGTACTGTGTTTATGTTGTAACGGACATGGATAGCTCTCGACCTCCTTCTGGACTATTTCGCAGCTGCAAATTTAATATCTATCATAACTCTTTTATCACGTTATATTCAGTAGACGGCGTCAAGTACTCTTTGAAAATCAACGTAAACAATATGAGTGTATCTCACATAATATCTATAATAAACTACTAGATTACTAAGGGAATGTAAAGGATTAAAAGATGGGCAGCAGCGTCCCTCTTAAATTATCACCAAAAGCTTATTACGGTTGCCATCGTGCTTGTCATGCGTGGTAATTACTAAAAAAAACCTTTTATAGGAAAGGTCTGTGGTCAGTAGTGCAAAGTTAATGGCTGGCATAATGATGATTACAGATTTTTTACTTTAAAAAAATTTGGTGAAAATGGAATGAAAAACTTGCCTGCACTATTGAAATACGCTAGCAGGGTATTAATGAGAATAATAATCAAAATAGAATGGCAAACAAGCTAACGGCTCATCTGATGGAAAGAGGTAACCGTCGTCTATATATATATAAGCAGTACCATGGACATAACAGAATATACGTTGCTATTCCTAATGACTAAAATGCTATGCCTCTGTACCCTGTAAATTCACTGCTTTCTCCCACCTTTTGAACCGAAACACAGCCATGCAAACACAAGTGCTTCACAGTTATAATACGAATGGGACAGAGATACCCAAGCAAACTACTTTTGCACATTCTCCCTCTGGTAAAAGTTAGAATTGTGATAACTTTAGATCAGTTAGTCCATTGTGATAAATTTAACAAGAATTTATCACGTAAATTCCCTGGAAACCTTCAGTGGAAATCACGTGGAGGTCAACCTGACAGGGTACAATGCTAGCAATGGGCTTGTTAGAGTCGTTAATAACAATACCTTTCCTCTTATTGTTATATATTACTGGTTAAAAAGAAGTTTTTATTAAATTACATGCAATATCATCATCATCGTCATATTATATCAGCCTTTAAACATCCACTGAACATAAGCCTCCCCCTTGGGGGGTATTGTCAGTTATTGCCACGCTTGGCAGGCGGATTGGCACCCGCAGTCAGGTTTAACAGATGTTTTAAGAGGGATACTGCTGCCCATCCCTCGCCCTTCTTTAGTCGGCTCTTACGACACCTATGGGAAAGGAAGGCGTGGCCCATTCTATATCGGAACTACACAGCCAACATGCGATATGGTGAAGAACATTCGTATTTTTATCTGCATGGACGATATCACGGGTAATGGAGTTGGCTAAAAACTAGCTATAAATAAGTGAAAACCTGTAAATGTAATTACGTCTTGTTGTTATCTATTATTAAGAATTACATTCAGTAAAAGTAGTTTTGTTCTATTAGGCTAATCAATAACAGTTTCTAGGAATGATTTGATTTAATTGCGCTAATTATGCTGCCATAACTATCGTGTTTGATGTAATATAACATCAGCACGTTGCTATCATTAAATAGCTAATTTGCATCTTGATAACAAGCATATGTAAGCGTAAGCGATTATAATATTAAACGGTTACGGTGTTATTACAAGAACCTATTATAATTGTTTTGTAATATAATATGAAGATGATATGTTAGTATTTTTAAACGACTTACAAAGAAACGGAGGTTCTTAATTCGTGTGTTTATATTGTGTATGTTAGGGTCACGAGAGTATGTGTATAATACACATACCACATAATATTGAGATAAGTGATGAATTTTTACCAGTTCTGAACCGTTTCTGATAATTCATTTTGCAAACTATATAGTTTATAATTCAATGTAGGTTTCATATTAGTATTGTTACGATTAAAGTAACATTTTTTGCGTAGTAAAAGCATAAATTATTTGAGTACCTCTTTTTTCTATCAATTTTACTAATAATAAAACTCATATTGCTATTAATACTGATTTTAAGATGTTTTTTTAATTGTAAAACCCAATAAATGAATGAATAAATAATAGCATATGTCTTCTCTATGCAAAATACTAGGTGTATATCAAATTTGTTGACGATCTGTTGAGCTGTGAATGCGCCACCTAATAATAAATAAGAACAAAATCACTTTCAAAATTAAAATATTATTGTTTTTTTCTTTCACTACAATAAAGTGCTTAGCATTTTATGCGTCACGTAATCTGTAATTAAGAGATCTCTAGAACAACTAAATTAGTAAATATAGCCCGAAAGGTTATTCTTATAAGCTCTTGCTTCAGGATGAAAGCTATTGGTCTTTTTTGATTCATGTTTCTTTGAGGAAACTGTTAATTTTATTTGATTAATAATAATGATTTATAATTTATGTAAATATTTATTTTAATTTTCTGTTTTGCACTACTACTGCCCACTCACTACTTCCTATGCCACTGTGTTAGGTTGATTGGAAGAAATCTCTTTTAAAGTTCGCCTTTGCTAACATTGTTATTAACTTATTGTTGTTACTGTATGTTTTAGTGCAATAAAGAATATATATATATATATATATATATACATATATAACTTCCTGCTTTCATACCTATCGCGACTCATTAAATAATTGACATGATAATGCTAAGATCACCGTCACTTCAAATTAAGTGTTATTGGAAATAGTTTACTGCTTGTGACAAACCACCTAATACGGGTAGGTATCTAATATATAGAGATATCAATGTATAATTGATAGAGATATCATTATATTTTAGTTACAATATAAAACACTGGTTCAATAACGAATATGGTAAATATCTATTATCCAAAAAAATAATGTTGGATAATCGACTTTTAACATATTCGAAAATAGAAATCTGACCGATATGGGTGATATCGAAATAGATGATGATCTTTTTTCCGCCATTAATGCCCTGAAGAACAAATATATAGATATCGGATTGGTATTCATATTACTAATATCTACCACGTAGTGATAATCTTCGCCATCTAATAACTATTCATTTTTGTTTCAGTTAAAATGGCTAATTGTTATCTTCTACTGGCTCTTTTCATTGGGAGTCAGGGATTATTCCTGAACCTGCACTCGAGTTTGGCGCAGAGTGCCCTCACTGGATCTCCGGTACTCCATATCACTGGTCCTGGGGCTGAGTTTGCGAAGGTAGTAACGCTTGGACCCACACCCCAGAGATTATCAGTAACTGGATTCGGGTGAGATTTTTATTGGTGTAATATTTTGTTGTATGTTGATATCAGTTAATAATATAAGATTTGCTTTTTATTATATAAAAACTGACTTGTATTTTCATAAAAACATTTATTTGGATTCGTGCTAAAAGAAATCACATGTAAATATGTACATTTCATCCGATTATTGACATATCGAAAATATTGAAAATGATAATAAAAGTTAGTTTTTATTTTTTGGATTATAAGCGAATTAAACTGTCTAAATATTTTTATAACTAATAAGTTGTAACTAATAAGTTATATATAAAATAACAATGACTTTTATTCTATACGATAGAACCTATAACTGAACGTTAATAAATCTTTATTTAGACAACTCACAGTTACCGTTACCATTTGTATCATATTTCATACAGTCCAACATTTGATCTACTCTTCTAAGGGTGTGTCATTCGATCGTAACTATCATTTACTTCAGCATTAAATTGGCTTATTCGGTTCCCATGGGAGTAATAAGGGATTCGAAAACTTCGAATCTAATGCAAACGTTTCACAAATTTAACACGTGGTGTGGACAAAAAAGATTCATGTTTTACTGAATTGGTATAAAACTGTATTTTTTTTAATTTATTTACTTTATTTACATTAAAATATATTATGTAATAATTATGACAGTTTTATTCGTGTTAAATCTTAGTAGCTAAGTTAACTGCACCAATCAACCCTAGGTAATTGCACTATTGATGACTTAAAGGTGAAGTAAGGTTTTAGTTGCGGTGTTCGGTTACTTTCATATATTCAATTATTCATTCGCTTAGTAAATGGATTTTGTGGTTTGGTAAAATTTATTATTTAATGAGTTTGCTTTTATGAACAGACATTTTCGTGTTTGCCCTCACTTGTCAGGAGGAGCAAATAGAAAAAATTCAGTTCATATTTTTGCCTACATATCCACTTAGATCCTGTTTTCAGATCCTAGTCATTCCTATAAACCTTTTCTATTTGTTACTTACCTTTTCTTCTATACTTTCTAATGCTTTGTATATGCGACTGAAGAGAGGGTCATATTCGATAAATGTTACATTAACTGTTATTATAGGCACTCAGCAAATATACAACAAATACATAAAAAAAATATATATCTTAGTAAGTAAATACATAGGTATATACATGACTTTTACTGTTATCTTGGTAGGATAAATTATGATTTGCATTACTTCGCCACTAGTGCTATTATTAAACAATGTCTCATTCATATCATTATAAATTAAACTCAAGAAGGAGGCACGGTAGGCTACATGTAACTGTTTAAAAAATCTTGATACAACAGAATACACCACAGAAGTATAAGTAAGCAGTTAAGTTGATCAGCAGTGATAGGAGACAGAGAGAGATAGAGAAAGAGAGAGCGAGAAAGAGATTGTTCTAGTATTTACTAGCTCAATGTAGTAATGGGTATATCGTAATTTGTGAATTTCATATTTTCAATTTCAAAACTGTTAGGTACCAACATAAAGAAAGGGCGCTAGCGGTAGTGATAATTTTGAAATACCAATTAAAGCAATTTAAATATTTCAATGATACAAAAGGACCAAATATAATTACCTACTTACAATATAATTAACTTGGAGCTTGATAGAAAAGCATTTACTGCATTCACGAAGTTTCTAATGGGTTGTCTTTACCGTCGTCAACGAAGAGACGTGACCAGTATAATTTGGAATATATTAGGATATGTATTAGAGGTAATTTTAAATTATTGTTAGGGCCAATTACGAGGTAATTTATGTCTGAATCTTAAGAAATATAAAAAATATACTTTTACTTTTAACATAATTTAGATATTGTATATATATATATATATATATATATATATATATATATATATATATGTGTTTTGATTATTTATTTAAGTATTTTTGTAAATATGATCAAAAAAGTGTATGTATATGATCAAGACTTTCGTGATTGTGTGACAATAAGTGCCAGTGAATAACATAAATAAATATAAAATTACAATTAATTGACTTAATCTATCAATTTAAAATAAATTTATTCATTTATAATATTTTTTTTTTAATTCAGAAGTTAGGTGTAATTGGAAGGAATTAAATCAATTTAGTATTTATTATTCTCTTTTTATAATTTAATTAACTATAACAATTTTATTATTATTATAATTATTTATGTAGATTATATTAAAACATTAGAAGTAATTAATTATTAAATTTAGAAATTAAATTATAATGAAAGAGTAAGTTTGATTGCAATCCATTATTTTTTTATTCTATTTTCTAATCTCTAATACCTAGATATCTAGCTTTCTGCCTCTTATTAATTGATTTTTAAATATCCTTTATATGTATTCCTTTACGATCTTCTCTTATTTCTTGTATTTCCAAAACAGTCCCAAATTCCCTCCCCGAAAGTAAGTAACTCACTGTAACCTTTGTAGAAGTTATACCGCAGTAAATCCTAACTACACCGAAAGCCGAAAAAATATCGGATTTTAAAATTGTGAATAATCCTTGCACTTGGTTGTATATTAAATTGGATTGTATTGCATGTACTTGTACTATTGTACTACTGTGTTCAATGTGTCCCCAGCAGACCAGAGGGAGACATCAGGGAAGCACAAGCCAGCACTGTAAGGTTAATATGTCACTGTGACTAATTAAATTTAAAATAATTCTCAAGTGAATTTTAAAGGTAAAGAAGATGATTGACATTTCTACAAATATATTCATATTAATTAATTTAAATTATATATTCATTATTATATGTATTTTTCGTAATAGTAGTTCTATGTTAATACACTAAAAGAAATTTTGAGAGATAATTACATTAAAGCATTGTTTCTTAGAATATAATTAACAACGCATATAAAAATGTTAAAAGTTTTGTATCATCTTTTTGGTCTTTAAATATAACTTTTAATTGATACTATTATTATTTAAATAATAATATAATTTTATATATTTCACTATTAAAATAAAATTGTATAATTTTTTTTATGTTCAACTATAAGAACATAAATTATTACCCATCCCAAATGAATAATTAAGCTGTTGTCTCCAAGACAAGGGAAACGGTTTCTGACAATGGTGCAAGCCCTTTGCTGTAAAAATGTAAATTTATTACCCTTCTGGTTTTAATGTACCGAAACCTAGATATGTATATACGTATATCTATTTATCTCAAATGCTAGATAAGTATGTGTGGATAATATATAGCAATATTTATGTATTGTATTCCCAAAATATATACATATATTGTCCCAATAACAGATATGTTGGTTATCCAACATATAATATCGAAAAAGAAGGACTCGCTCGTAATGAATATATGAGTAGATATCCGACTGGTATGGGCGATATCGCAATGGCTGTTTATCAATGTCCAGAAGATATCAATATATAGATATTTGATATTAACCATCTCTATAGTTTTTTTTATCTTTTTTATTTAGAGGCTTTTATCCTATAAGGATATGTCAGCCTCATCATACCCTAATTTTAAAAAATACCTTAGATACTTAAAACATTAATATATAAATAAATAATACATAATAGTAATAATACATAGTAGTCTATTTTGATAAAGGGAATTATTGATACAAAAATATAGTAATTAAAGATTTTGCCATTCTGGGATGTGGTTCTGTGAGTATATTTGAAAATAAACCAATCTCCTGTCGATTGAGACTATATTTCTGTATCAATACTTCCCTTTGTGTTTTGTATATCTCTATAGTTAAGGACATACTAATATATTACAGGGGTTCTATTGACCTTTCTTACAATTAGATAATATAGAAAGTGTTTTTATTTTTGTGTACATTATGTCTTATTATAGATACTGTAATTTTTACACCTCATAATCATTAGCTTGCACCACATATTTTAGTTGGTTTTGCACAGCTTACAACATAAGATGCACGCTTAATTGTATAAAATAATATGTAATTATAATTATTATTTATATTATTATATATTTTACAAAATACTACTGAAATAAGCAGTGAGTTTTTTTATTAATTTTTTATAATTATTCAGTTATAAATACTGATTGCTACTTTTTTAAATGAGTATAATTGTGTAGTTTCAGCAATCCACCACCACCGTTGGGATCAGGACAGGATCCCGCTACTCAAACCTGCGGTCTGGCTCCACCATTTTGTACAAAATCACGATATAGATCTATAGATGGATCTTGTAATAATTTCTTGAGACCATCGTGGGGTACACCACAGACACCGTATGGACGTCTATTGCCCTATAATTATGCCGATGGTAAGTTTAAATATTAATAACTAGTGATCCTGCCCGGCTTCGCACGGGTAGATAATATATTTTTTTGAAAATATATATCGCCAATGTTAATCGCTAATAATATAGCTTTCTATATGTGAAAGAATTTTTAAAATCGGTTAAGCAGTTTTTGAATTTATCCATTTTAAACAAATAATAAAATCTTATCACTTTTAAATATTCGTATAATATAATCTTGTATAAATAGTCATAAGTACCATACAAACTCATCAATCGTCTGATCTTTAAGCTAGAATACTTTGTGTTATAAGGAACTTGGCACGTGGAACGTACATGTTGGTGTACAATTTAGAACACCCAAACCCGAGCTAATTAAGAAACGATCGTTTTCTAAATAGAACCGACTAGAAATCGAATCCAGAACTTCATTAACGTAAACGTGCCCAATATTGCACCACGGAGGTCGTCAAATTATTTATTACAGTTACTAGTTTTATTTTTATTACATTTCATTTATGTTGTTGTTAGATAAAAAGGATTCTGTTATAAGTTGTGGTTCATCTATGGATAATTGTATTACATATGTAAAAATAGACGAATTATGAACTTACTCTTATAAAAAGTTTAAAAATTCGAACAGCTTTGCGAGCCACGTATTTATGAGTAATACTACGGACATTGAATTTAAGATTTCTAATACTAAGCCAAGGAAGTGTTATTTGTCGATATCAGTATAGTGCTCGATTTAATGATGTCATTCTACAAATAAATGTGTTTTAATATTTGAGGCAGTAAATAGATTACATAATTTAGTCAATAATTATTCGACTGCATGACGTTAACTTATTAACGGGGATTTTCGGTAACATCATAACCTTCTTTGAAATTTGAGCTGTTTGTTATTTTTAACCAAATCTATTTTGGGGTTTTGTTAAACGGATAAATTATAAATCTTTAGAATTAATAACTTTGTTAGTTAATTATTATCATAATATCGATTTTTATGACTTCTGATTTCAATAAATTTAAGAATTAGAGAAAGATACTAATTCAATCGTGACAAAATTAATATATCACCAACAAGAGAATAAACTTTATCATGTGCAAAAAATATTCATTAATATTGATTAAGAATAAGAAAAAATATCACGTATATATACCAAATTTTCCTTTAAAAAGTCCCTTCGTGACCTTTACTTAAATTTATTACAACAATGAAAAACCTCAATTTGAAGTATTATATAATCAGTTATGTTTTATCTATTTATTAATTTTAATATGTACTATGTATAGTTATTTATAATATGTATTGTATGTGAATTATGTATATATATTTTTTGTAAGTATATTATTCTATATATATTCTTTATTGCACTTAAACAATACATGCAACGATTAGTTTAACAACTTGTTAGCAAGGGAGGACTTATCTATAAAAGAGATCTCTTCCAGCCAACCCAGTGTAGTTAGAGAGAAAATAATTTAATTTGGGTAATCCAGTGCAGGAAAGGTACCGGTGAAAATAATGTAAATACAACAAACACAAATTGTGAATTAATATATAAATAAATAAATAAATACGTAAATAATTAAATAGATAAATATATATACATATGTATAAGTGCATAGAATTATCATGTACAATTGGTTAAAATGTGTGATTTCAGTCTTCTCTTGAAGAAAGTAATGAAAGGACTATCCCGTATGTCAGCAGGTAGCCTGTTCTATATGTTTGTATATTTATTTATCTTAAATGGTTGCTGTCTTTCAAATTATTTAATTTACATTTTTATTTTTTAAATCTATGCATCGCTATTTACTCTCTCTGTTTAGCGTAATGGTTGACTGGTAGAGAATGCCATCAGGCTTTAAGTCCGCCCTGTAGACATATTTTAATGAGTGCAATAATATAAATAAATATATACACAAAAATACACATGAATCGTATTTAGAACTATCTCCTTTTAAGCGATATAATTAAAAAAAAAAAAGAAATTAAATTAGGATTAATTAAACATATACATACATACATATCTGTCACGCCTGTCTCCCATTAGGGTAGGCAGAAACAATGGAACGCCAAATGCTTCGATTCAAACAAACCTCTTTCGCTTCTTCCACATTCATCAATCTTGTCATACACGCTCGTCGGTTACGGGTACTTTTAATTTGGCCCTTCTTCAGCACGTCGCCTATTTGGTCGACATACGTCCGTCTAGGGCGGCCCCTACCGACATCTCCATTCATTCTTGCTCGGTAAATCTCTTTCGTAATTCTTCTTTCATCCATCCTCTCCAAATGACCAAACCAACGCAACATTCCTTTTTCAATTTTTGTCACTACATCGTCTTTCAGTCCACACTTCTCTCTAATCACACTGTTTCTTACTCTATCTTTTAAAGTAATACCACACATACTTCTCAAAGCTCTCATCTGTACAGCATTTATCTTACTTTCATGCTTCTTCTGCCATACCCACGATTCGCTTCCATACATGAGTGTTGGTGTCAGTACTCCTTGAATTATAGCAAGGCGAGCTTTGCTCGATACATTTTTACTTGACATAATCGAGAGCAGTGCACCGTTAACACTGTTTCCCGCTTTTACTCTCCTCTCAATATCTCTGTCACACTTCCCATCCCTCGTAAACAAAGAACCTAAATATAGAAACTCACTCACTTGCTCTACTTTTTCATCTCCTATCATAATCTGGCATGCCGTTAAACTTTCATTCCTCTCAAAAACCATTACCTTCGTCTTCTTCGCATTTATTTTCATACCTTTTCTTGCATACGCTTCATTCATTATAGTCACCATTTGTTGTAATTCATACTCCGACGATGCAAAAAGTACTTGGTCGTCGGCGTATAAAAGAGTCTTAAACAGAGATTCATTCATCCTGAATCCACAATTAGATCCTTTCAAATCGGTCAAGCAACTGTCCATAAATAGGTTGAACAGCCAAGGAGACGCTACACAGCCCTGTCTAACACCGCGTTCAATGCCAAACCAGTCTGTATAGACTCCATTTATTCTGACACAGGCATTTGAATCCTTATATAAAGATTTGAATGCCCGTATCAAATGGCTGCCCACCCCATACATTGCCAGTGTTGACCACAGTTCATTCCTCTCCACTCTATCATAAGCCTTTTCAAGGTCAATGAAGGCGCAGAAAACCTTCTGATGTTGAGCTAAGGTTTTCTCTGTTATGCACCTTAAGGAAAAGACTTGATCCGTACATCCCATACCCTTTCGAAACCCTGCTTGCACATCCCAAATTTTACTTTCCGTCTCATTCATCACTCTTTTAATCAAAATCCTAGCATACAATTTGCCTACAACACTAAGAAGGCTTATTCCGCGGAAATTTTTGCACTCCTGCCGTGACCCGCTGCCTTTATATAGTGGCACAATAACAGCTTTGCTCCAGTCACCTGGAACACAACCGGACCGCCAACATTTATTGAACAGCAGACACAGCAGGTTTACAATGATTTCTCCACCTTCTTTAAGCATTTCGGCAGATATTCTATCGAATCCCGCTGCTTTACCAAATTTCATAATCTTCATTGCATTCATTACTTCATCCATACTTATATCACTTTCACTGTCAACTTCTTCGTCCATTATTTCATTTTCAACATTCTTTCTTTCACTTCCACGTTCAAATAAACTTTCAAAATATCTCTTCCAATGATCTAAGACTTCCTTTTGTTCCGTGATAACATTACCATCCATATCCCTTATCACGCCCATTTTCGGATCTCTCTTTTTACCTCTAGCTGTTCGAACTAAATGCCAGAAAAGCTTTTGATTAGCTCGAAAATTTCTAGAGAATTTCCTTTCATACTCATCCTTACATTCCTCTTTCTTTTTGCTTACTAATTCTTTAACTTTCTTTTTCATTACATCATACTTCTCTTTTGCAATTTTTTCAATGTCACTTACATTACCTTGCATTCTCTTATTAGCTCTGGTAGCTAACAAATCCATCCATGCCTTTTTCTTTAGAGCCACCATTTCTTTCACTTCGCCATCCCACCATACATTCATTCTCATCTTAACATCCTTCCTCTTACTTACACCACAAACTTGAGTAGCTATATCAAAGATTCCGCATTTAAATTCCTTCCAAAATTCTTCTATCTCATAGTTATCTTTCTTCAGTAGCTCTCTAAATCTTTCATTCAATCTTTCTTGATACTGATTTCGAACCTGTTCTTCTGTCAGTCTCTCTACTCTTACTCTTTCTATTTCTGACATACGAACACGTGGACGATGTCGCCATTTATTGAATAAGCCACCTATTCTCGATATCACCAAAAAGTGATCAGTTCCGACATTCGTACCACGATAGACTCTTGTATCCTTCACTTTCGCTCTCAATCGTTCATCCACAATTACAAAATCAATCATACTTCTCTCAGTTTGCCTTTGCCATGTATACATATGAATCAGTTTGTGACTAAACAAAGTATTAGTCACCACCAGATTTCTCTCCAGGCATACTTCTAATAAACTTTCACCATTTTCATTCACTCTTTTATCTCCAAACATTCCTAAATTCCTTTCATATCCATCGCGACGGATTCCCACCCAGCCATTAAAATCACCTATCAAAATAATTCTTTCATTCTCCTTACATTTAGTCATAATCTCTCTTACACTATCCCAGAAATCCTCTCTGACCTTTGGTGGCTTGGACATATCCGGGGCATAAGCGCAAAGGAGAAAAATACGGGTCAAACCAACTTTCAGTCGTATCCAGAGGAGTCTAGGACTTACAAATTCAAATTCTTTAACAGATGCATTCATTCTCTCTGACAAAATAACTCCCACTCCTTGGCTGCTTCTTTCAGAGTCATTAACTCCAGACCAGTACCCAGTATATCGGTCATAAGTAGTAATAGAGCAGCCTTTCTTTTTTGTTTCACTTACTCCTAATACATCAATTCTTCTTTCACTCATCATCTCACATACTTCGTCTATTTTACTATCCATACCTCCACAAACATTCATCGTTGCAATTTGGCATTCCTTTGCCCTCTTTTTGCCATTTGGGGAAACAGGGGAGACATGACGTGACCCGTGGCATAACGCATCGCCGTCGATGAGAAATTTGTCCCCCCCAGATACGATGGGACTGCCTGAGTTGCACTCAGGGACGGATTCTCCGGCAGTGCCGGTACCCTCCTGGGGTAGTTGCGTTTTAATTTCTCTTATCATTTTGAAAAAGAACTGCTCTTCTTAACATCGGATAGGGAAAGGAAATAGGTTACATTGGGAAAGGAATAGGTTATAAGGAAAGGAGGTTTTTTTTTTTTTTTTATGCAACTTAGAATGACAAACAAGCTGACGGCCCACCTGATGGAAAGTGGTAACCGTCGCCTATAGACATGAGCAGTACCATGGACATAGCAGACTATACTGTTTCACCCATGATACCCCCATGGGTTGCCATTCCTGAGGACTCAGGTGTTATTCCTCTGTACCCTGTAAATTCACGCCATATCCCACCCTTCAAACCGAAACACAGTCATGCAAACACAACTGCTTCACGGTTGAAACACGAATGGGACAGAGGTGCCCAAGCAATCGACTTTTGTACAAAGTCTCCCTCTGGTATAATGGTATATGGTGATAAGTGGAAAGGAACTATAGGAAAAATGGGGGATACTACAGCTACGGAGAGGACATAGGTTTTGTAACTGTAGTAGCTATGGAGGCCGGGGTTGCGTACCCGTATGCCCTTACTCCACAATCGGACAGATTAATAGAGAGGACATCCCATGACCAAAGAGGACATCCCATGACCAATTAATTAAAATAATTGATAATAAACTATGGTGTAAACGTTTCCGACTTTGATACTTATCTCCAATTGTACACAGAAAAAGAACTACTATAAAAAAATATTACGTAGTTATTTAGAATTAGTTATTTAGAATATTACGAAAGGAACTTCTCTAATGCATTCGGAAAATATATTAATATTAGGTTGATAATTTTACACTTCTGGCTAACTTAGCTCTGCTAATTTGACATAAGATGTAATAATAATATTTTTGTTTTTAGAGTATAATAGATTAATGCTGAATATCTAGTATTATAAATATCCATTATACGTTTACCAAGCTATATCTTTCTCCCTATATAAATCCATTTCCCGATAATGTACTCGTAAATCATGTCTCACATATGTATGTACATATATATTTATACATATGTTGTCTCAATAAAGTATTCAGTCTTTTCAGATAAATTCCTTTAAAGCTTTTTTTTTTTTATTACAATCAATCATTGTAGATTTACACCCGTGATTTCCATTCTTTTTATATTTCTTATTTACTAATGTTCCACAGTGTTGCGTCCTTTTATTTAAATTGTGCCTGTTGTAATCTAATTGTCTTAGGTTGTTGTACAATAACATTTTGTATCTTACAAAATATTTTTTTAAGGGATTTCAAGAAGAGGGAGTTTCTCAGATTGTCTGAATTTTTTCGGGACTATGTTACACGATTACCTTTCCAACCGATTCTGAATTGATTGTTACAACTTTTTTTGCAATCGGTGTTTACTCTCTTAAGATTAAAAATAAGAATATTATATATCTTGTATTGCAAAATGAGAAACGTAAATAAGAAAAGACCATTTAAATTTTATAGCATTTTTCTTTACGAATCAATAAACTGTTTACTGTTTACTAAAAGCTATTTGTAAACACAAAATATTTTATAATGTAAGAAAGACAAAAGAAGGTTTTTAAGATATTATTGTTTATCGGAGCATTCGTGATTGAAGACACTTTTTTTTTGCGACGCAATATATAAATACTTGCTTAACCTTTTTATTTATTAATATTATAAAAAATATTAGTTCAGGTTTATTTGTCTTCTAAGTTAGACATCTCAAACAACGACATCGGTTAGTAAAGACATCTAGAGACAGCAAATTATATTAAAATTTCTTATGGATATGGTCATAGGTTCTGCATACTGGTCAAAAATTAAATTAAATATATTTTTATTTATAATACTATAATAATATTTTTATATGGGTCGATAAAAATCATTATTTGCGAGAAAATAAAACTAACTTATACTAGATAACTAGTAATAGCTAGTACACAAGTACTTGATAAGGTGTTAGAGAATTAGAACTAAATCGAGTCTGAAACGTTCGTTGAATCAGAAAGCAGGTCAACGGACAGATTAGATGTACCGTTTGCAGTCGCAGTGTCATACTTACCTATATGTGAGTGCAAATTGTCTCGACATTGACATATAAAAAGTACTGAGATCTACAATTAAAAACTAAACAGCGGTAGTAAAAATAGAGCGCATTTAACCAAGTTGCATTCATAACGTGTCCATTAACTAGCGAATGGAGTCCGTATTAAAGCGTGTCGAAATGAACAAATAAATTTCGTAGAAAAATAATACGTCTAGACACGTAAGTTTTATATTTATGGCAAGTATCCGCTTCCAGCAACGTCTTGTCTTATAATAAGTAATTATTTTTTTAATTAAAAATGGGGACAGCTTGACTCTATATAGTAATGTTTTAGTAAATTTAAGAAAATAACAGACCTAAGAGACTTTCATTTTTTATAATATCAATAAATTTGGAATTATGAATGATTCTTGATAAACAGTATTAATATAGAGAAGTACAGGTAGTTAAAATAATTTAATTTTTTAAATTAGAGAAACTGAATTTTATTGTAATCCATATATTGTATATCTATCTATCCATTTAAGAGCTGCGCTCTTGTCGGTGGAGCTCTTGCCACTCATTACGATTTTCAGCAAGTCTTTTCACCTCTTGATACGACACGACACCAACTCCTTCCTTGATCTGCCTGATGTAACTATGTCTCGGTCTCCCTCTCCCCCTTCTTCCTTCTATCTTACCTTCTATATTGTATATATAATATAAATTATGAACAAAAAATCTATACGTGCATACACGATTGGAATGTAAGGTCAAATAGTTACACCCGCAATTCTTCCAGTAAACAATTAACTTCACACATTAACTTGTCGTGCCAATTTGTACTGTTACATACAATTACTTATAAGGATGTTGAAATTTTGTGATTTAACCTTGTAGTCGTATATCTACGGCAAATTTAAGCTGTTTCAATTCAATATTTGGATTAAACTTTAATATTAATAAATCAGAATAACAAATAAGAGCAAAAATCGTGCTTTTAGGTAACATGTAAATACTTGGAAACATAATTTGGAAATTTGCTATTGGGTAACGTTTAAGTAGCTGAGTGAATTTCAGTGAAAAATTTCAGTACAAAAATGAGCCATTTTTTGTCGTAATTCATAGGGTCGGATTATCTACAGGTCTGTCTTAAATGTCTGGCGGTAGGCATCTATTATTGATTAGGAATTAAAAGTTTAGTACAATAAATTAATGTAAAAGGTTCGGGAATATTCCTCAAGATTCTTTTAAAAGTACAATATTCAAATTACAAAGCGTTTTTATATTCTAATTTATAGACTACTCGTCTATGTGATTTCTATAAATGCATTTATTTGTATTTCTGCAATTTTTAAATAAGAATCCGTCATCAGAAGAACTGACACCTTATAAAAATAAATAAAAAAGTGTAAATTAGTTTTTTTTTCAGATTTCAGATTCAGTCAGTAACTACTTAAAACTATATTCATCAACTGTCTGCGATGACATACCGATATATTTAACTGCATATAAATTAATATTGTCGGTTAGATTACAATGTTGACTTAAAATAGATCTTATCAAATGCTTTATAATACTAATATTCGAATATTTCATGATTGATACTTACGAAGTTTTAGATGTTATCAATGTTGATTTTTACAGTCTTGTGAATTAGCTTATGACAGAATTCTGCATTAAAGCGACGAGAATAACAGTCTAAGCTAGTCCATTTAGTTAAGTGCTTTTTTGTAAGATTGAGAATGGCAAATAAGACGTAATTGATGAAAAGTGGTAAATGTCACCGATAGATATGAATACCTATTACCATGAACATGAACATAATATAATATGCTTTCCAAGGCATTTCTCATATATTTCATTTTATTCTTGTAACGTCTTCTGCCTCTTGTATCAGAGATATAAGGTTTTCGACATAGACGGCAAGCGAAACAGTAACTTAAAGGCACCTTATCTTACATCATATTGCCATGCAGCATTTTTACTAGATAGCAGTAAGACGCTACCAAAAAATACACAAATTAGATTTTCTAAAAAATATCTCATTGTCCTATCCTATATTATAACTTATCGATAAACCTATGCTCATCCATAAATTATTTATACGGCCTTAACGCGAGAAATATTTTTTTAAAGCACAAAGGTGATAAACAAACGTACAGCTAGTCTGATGGTAAATATTTACTGTAGCCTATGGACACCTGCAATAATAGGGGTGTCACATGCACGTTGCTGATCCTAAAGAAAACCTTTTTGAAAAACTCCATACTGTAGTCTCTACGGAAAACCATTTTATATTTAAATTTTACAAAATAAGTGGTATTCAACTTTAGAATTTTGTCATATTTTTTTATTCCTTTGATTTCAGGTATCAGTGCAATGCCATTGTCCTCATCAGGGCGTTCTTTGCCGAATCCTCGTGACATCAGCCTTCGGTTGTTCCCTGACAGACAGCTAGTCGATCCTATTTGGAATTTGAATGCTCAACAATGGGGCCAAATTATTACCCATGATATGTCCCTCACCGCAGGTGTCACGCAATCTCGTAAGTTTTTAATTTTTGTTTATTTAAGAAGTTTTATTTCTATTGCTTCTGCCTCCCCAATGGTAGACTGGTATGATAGTAGTATGCATGTATGTTTTATTTAAAGCTCAGTCAAACTATAATAATGTAAATAAAATAAATCTGTAAAAATACAAGGAAAGTAGAATGTGGTCTCTATGAAGCGTAGAATTATTCAGTATAACTTTGTAGCAATATATTTAATTTCATATATTTTAGAGTATTTCAGATACTGTAATTTTTTATCGATTAGTGAACCTAAAAGAAAATCTAATAAAAATATTTTTTTTTACATAATAGCTAATGGGAATGAAACAAGTAAGTAATAAATAGCTCCTGTAACATTTTGTTTTTAGCTTATGGTTTGATGTTTGTTTTATTTCTATTAATTATTCATATCAGACGTACAACAGTTAAGATAAAAAAATGGACCTATTAAAGCACATATTATTTTTCTCCTCAAATTCAAACATATTCATATATATTACAGCTATTTCTTCATAACAATAGATTTGTTGATGTATTTGAGTCTGTGTTTGCTATACATTTACGCATTTTGACATGGTAAATATTTTTAAAGTTATTCGCTCACGTATTAAACTATGATTAATTAATGACGCATTAGTATTATTATTATCTTATTTTAATACGGTACTGTTAACATACCTAAGTTACCTTAATTCAACCTTAACCCTAATGTAAAGCATAATTTTTAATAATGTGATATAGAAGTAATAAGTATTATTTTATACAAAGTTGAAGGGCAGAGTATAATAATCCAGCGAAATCTAATATGTTCGTTATAATGTTTCAAATAGTCGAGTTTGGTAATCTAAAGGCATATGAATGTTTTTATATAACATGCCTGTACCTGTTTCATGGAAAAATAGATAGATGCTGTCATAGTTAATCATACTATACTATTTCAAGTGGTATCGCTTGTAGTTCGTATTTTATATTTAGGATTATTAATAACTTTTCTCTATTCACTTCATATCTTTAAAACTAAATGTTCTACACACAGTTAAAAATTCGTAAATATTTTCTTCTAAAATTTATTTAGATATTATAAGTATATATAATAAAATATTTAAAAAAATAGGACACAATAACGTTATTGTGCTATGTCTAGTGTTATTTAAATATTTATAAAATTACTTGTAAATGTAAAATAATTATTGCACATTATTTACATTTTAGTACATAATATTACCTATAGTTCAAAGAACTCTACAAATATATATTCAAAATATTTACATTAAATGAAATATTTACTTTACTTAACACTAAATATTTATTTTACTTTAAATATTTACTTTGCCTATCTTTAATAACTTATTGCATAATGGCTTGGGGTGGTACGTTTAAGAGCTATGTTTTGCAAGTGGAAAGAGCTCAAAGAGCTATACTTAATGTTGTCTTAACCCTATAGGTATTCGACAACAAAAATATATTAGGATATTTATGTTCTCATTGTGTCGCAACTGTTCATTCATAAATTTGTTCTGTACTGTCATGTGCAAAATCCCTTTGATCTTGAACGTTTGCTAATCGTCGAAAAACAAATATAGTGTTTAAAAGAACTATAACATAATCTCTTTTTGTTAAATGGCATTTTATATTTTGGGCCTCTTCCTATATAATAAATTAAACCGACTTATAAACATATATATTGAGTCTCATAAATATTTAAAAACACAATGTTATGAAGAAACTGAATGTTTTCTAAAAACCATACAGTGAGTTCATTTTAGACATTATGCAGAATGTTTTATTTTTTATTTATATACATATTGCAATGAAAAACCTTTTGGAGTACGGTGGCGGGTGTGGTTATTGTGTATACTTGGAATTACGTACATGATTTTTGTGATTGTGCTTTTTTTTATTTCTATTATTACTTTTTATCTTATACTTGATCTATTTGTTCTTTGTATAACCAAAGAACGAATGTAGGGGCCAGAATACCGTAACACAAGGTATCCTAGTACGGATTCTGTCCATTCCCAATGGCAAACTTTGTATTTACTGTTTTGTAAAATGTAAAAGTGAAGAGCCCCTGTTACAGAATCAAAGATTTATTATTATTACTTTTTCTCTTAATATCACGTTTTTATATCATATTTTGAAATAATTATAAAATTCTTTAAGTATTTTTGGTAGGAAGTATGAATACAGTAGTATCGCTCTTTCACTTTAGATTCGAGTGTGCCATTATGTTCAAATAGACGAAATATGAATATAAATTTTTATAAAAATTAATGGAATGTGATGATCCCTATCAGAAAGGGGGAAAGATATTGTAATGTAATGTAATAATGGAATATACTAGCTCTATTACTAGTAATACACATTGGTTCCTCTATGAAAGAAATTATAATACTTTCCTCCATATGAGCATGTTAATATTACCATAAGGTTGACAGTTGACGTGATATATAAGGGCATACAATCATAATCCATGAGGAGAAAGCTTTAAATTTGGATTATAGTTAGTATATATTTATATTAAAACATATCATTTTTAATTTAGACAAGGAGAGCATAATTTGCTGCGATGATAATGGCCAATTAGCTGTGGATGCGAAAACAAACCCGACATGCGCGCCCATCCTCATACCACCGAATGATCCTGTCCATGCACCTCAAGGAACTCAGTGTATGAACTTTGTCAGAACGGGCACAACAAGGTCAAGAGGATGCACGCCTCCCAATGCACCTGCTGAGCCCGTAAGTGTGTGTTTTAATATTCCTATACTAATCTCTCTTTTTTCGCCGTATGAGCCCGGTATGGAATAAGCCACCCTTTCCTTTCCATTTAATAGGAAGAATTGTTAAAAACATATTTTTTAAAGAATCAGAAAGGGACTGAAATTTATATAAAAATCCAATAGTTTTAATATAATAACAAACAACTTTAACCTTTATGTATACAACTAATACAATATGTTTAAAATTTTTGTTTTTTTTTTAAGTCAGCGATAAACATAAGCGTAATTTCTGGTCGGTTATAAAATTCTTTTACTACAAGAAAGAAGCTGCTTTGCTCTAATAACCCATTAATGCCCTTATTTTTGATGCATAGAAGGAGAATATTATTCTATTATTATTACATTGCCCATGTGGTTCAGTACAGGTTTTTTTTTTAATTTTTCTTTTATTCACTGGTAAATAGCTTAGCCGTTTTCTAAGATAAAAAATTCCATTACATAAATGTTAATATTTTTCACACACTGCCCTCTAAAATAAATCTTATAAAAACCGCTATGAAACGTGACTAAAATAAATTAGGTCCTGGCTCCAGAGGACAATCACCAATCTCCTGTATAAATTAAACATTTAATAGCCTTTTGTGATAAAACACACATGAATTCACGTTGAAATTTTATAAAGAGCTAGTATCATTAGCTATAAAATTTGATGGGTATTCTGGTTATACTTTTGTCATTTTAGTATCTATTTTTAATGATTAGAATTAAAGAAAGTTATAAAATAATACAATAGTACCATGCCTAGAGAATTATTTTTTTGTTTAGTGATTGACTCAATATATGTTATATTAATTTAATAATTATCATTTCTATGTTTAATTCTGCAATAATTTTTCAATTTTACGATCGCCACAACATTTTTTTTATAGTGTATGTGATCCTTCTATCATTTCAAGTTTTTCTTTTACGAGTATATACTCTATTTGACTTAATTGAAGCTGAAGTATGAATTTCTGTGGAGTTCGTACTTTCTATAATGCCTATTATAATAGTTATCTAACTTCTCTGTTAACAGGAAAACCTTATGCTTTTCTTAAGCTGACTGTACCAAAAAATTTTATTTTCCAGATTTCAACAGTGACAGCGTACATGGACTTATCATTGGTATATGGTAGTAGTGCATCTCAAGCGGCTCCAATCAGAGCCTACTCGGGTGGTCGTCTGCTAACCGTAGTAAGGGGGGGACAAGAATGGCCCCCACAGGACCCCAACATCACGGTCACCTGCGAAACTGCTCTGTCGCCTAACGAACCGTGTTATTTGACTGGTAACTGTGCCTTTTATTAACTTAATATTGCGTAAGATTAACCAATTTTATTACACGTCCATTATTAAGCAATAAAATTAAAATTAACTGTAAAACAAGAACAAATTAAAGGGTGTATTGGATATTGTTAAATTGACTCTGTAATTAAGAGGGCGCGTAGGTATTATATTGTCTGACTGGAGACTAGTATTGTCATTATTACCTGTAAAGTCACAAACACACTATAGTCGCGTCCGTCAGTTGCGGCTGATGAACGCGTATCATTCATGGACGGTTCAAGGTTTCGTTCGCGACTGACAATCGCTAGTATGCACAGTTTAATGTAAATATACTCTCCGGATAGCGTTTATAAGCCGCGGCTGTTGAATGCGTCCGACAGTATATTTGCGGCTTAATATAAGAAAGAGAAAATAAAAATAACTTTATATACATATGTTCCTCGTGAATCACACTAGAGATAGTGGTAGTGGTTCTCCTCATTGCCGTGTTTGACTCAGATATAGTCTGTGAAATATGGTTTCATGAGTTGCGTTCATTATAACGAGCACATAAATGATAAATGTCTCTTCTTAAAATACTATCTTAAAATTATTTTGATTTCAAAGTTTTATTCGTATTTTTTCGCATTAAAATGTTGCGAATAATCACAAAACAAGATGAGAATAATAGGTTAAAATAGATTATGCTTGAATAAATAGCTCTGTCATTTATATAGGGGATAATATTTTGTATTGTATATCTATATTTTGTCATTGTCAATTTATTATATAAACAACATTTTTATATGCTACTATCTGACCGCCCTGAATTCGTATGGATGTGGAAATCTCCCTACTACCTTCCGTCTCACGTATTTTCTCACTTTTCAATAGACTTCAAAAACAAGAAGGAGATCCTCAATTCTATTAAATTTTTTTCTGTTTGTAACCTTATAACTCCGTCAGTTCTAAACCGATTTGGAAAATTCTTATCTGAAAGTGTGTTACGGAATTTTTTTACATCAAAGTTTTTACTTTACCTACGATTTTCAAATATTTTCTTACATAGAAACCTTGTCCTGATATAATTAATTTTTATTTATATAGATTTTATTAATTAAACTCTATCCGCTATACTTCGAATTCGATTGATACGCTAATGACTTTAATACCCAATTAGGTATATGTTTAATGTGCATATTAAATATATAATTAGATATTAAAAGTTAAAAAATGGTTGTAACCTCATTCCATATAAATAATTTATAATTGATCATTATTTAATCGTGGTTTAAAGTTCATTACGATACCTAAAACGTTTTTTTATGGTAAACTAGTATTTACTGGTGTATTTATATTTACTTACCAAACATATACTCGATAAGATATTTTACATATACCTAACACTACGTAATGGGGGGAAAGGGATTGTTAGTACTATATAATATAATATAAGATCATCAAAAAAAAAAAAACATATATATATATATATATATATATATATATATATATATATATATATATATATATATATATATATATATATATATAGATCTCTGATCTATATTAAATGCACAATGTATTTAAGGTACTGAATTGGATAAAGATTAATGCTGTATTGCTTAAAATCGCTTCGTAAGTAAGTCATTATTTCTCGTAAAAAGTAAAGGATAAAAAAATTTATTGTGGATTATCTCTAAAAGATTGACATATACCATCAGACTTTTTTATAGACCTATTTAAGGTGTATAACAATGTAGTATATTATTTTGATCTATCTAGTAGGGTTTAGCCAGCATTTGCAATGTAAGCACAAAAGTGTTTATTTACGTCATCACATTAGAAACCTCTAAAATTATCAGTGTTTCTCTACTATTTTTTCTACTACATTCCTCTTGAATCACTCTATCTATTAAAAAATCGCATTAAAATCCTTTGCGTAGTTTTAAAGATGTAAGCATACATAGGGATAGACAGATGGAAAGCGACGTTGTTTTATACTATTTAGTGATTATAATAATAATGTATGGTACAATGTTAAGGACTATTTTAATTATCGAATAAAGTACCCGTTCTAGTAATTTTGACATTTTAGGCAAAAATAATATTTGCTGCCTTTTTTAATATTAAGCCGCCCTCAATTTGGCCCTTTGGGTATTAGTCCAGATCGGGCCTAATTTGATATTCTGTGATAATTTCACCCTCTAGGGAACTTTTTCATAATTATAACCTTTCAATTAACAAATATTTCTGCGTTCTATTTATATATTTTTTGGTAAAACTATAATATATCAAGATATAAAATTAATCTTGTAATTCATTCAGCGATAAAATAAGCAAACAAACAGACATACATTCTGATCTAAACGAATTTATTCTAATATATTATTCTATTAATATAATTATTACTTTCTAGGTGATATAAGAACAAATCAAAACCTGCAGTTGGCGGTGCTCCAAATCGTGCTTTTGCGTGAACACAACCGCATCGCAGACGTGCTGGCAACACTTAACCGACATTGGGACGACGAAACCTTGTACCAGGAAGCTAGGAGAATACATATAGCTGAAATACAACATATTAATTATTATGAATATCTACCAATATTCCTCGGTAAGTGAAGACATCAAAAAAAGTTGTAAATTTAATTTAAAAGTATGCTTAATTACATTCTCAAACAGACAACTTTTTTGATATATATATTTAATGAGACTATTAAAATAAGTTAAGAAGCTCTTTCTTTTTGATATTTCTTTCTAGTATTTTTCCTAATAATAAAAATTTACTTTTTATAATTTTTCATTTGCAAAGTTTGTTAGGTTAAAATTCTCAGACTAAATTAAATAGTTCTAATCAGATATTTCTAAGTAAATTTGTGGAAATACATTTTGTCTGATAAGAATATAATATGCAACACTTTATATTGTAATATAATTCAAAATGACCGTCGCTATAAAATGGCAGATGGTGCATAATTTTGTCAATTTTCTTAATGTGAATATAAAATGGCAAAGCTTAAAGAGCAGGAAACGATAAAATAAATGACACCATTTTAAAATGGCTGCAGCCACAAGATGGCGGATTACATTAAAAAAGTTTCTTTTGAAAAGATACTATTGTAATACTTCAATTCATTAATCGATTACGTCTGTTTAGAATATACTTAAAGATTAATAATTTTTTTATAGAAAATATTATCATTGAACTTGAACTGTTATGAAGTGAATGAGAAGATATTTCATACAAGTAATGAATAACCTGGATATGATTACATAACAGTCGCAATACAGTATATAAGTGTTAGATATTTCCTGAGTTCATTAATATTAATTTGTGTTGGGGAAAGTTAATACTTTTCTCTAACCTATTATTATCTACTAGCCTTGCCTGCGATCTTGTCTTGCCCGAAGTATCTTATTTATATTTTTAAATCAATTGAATTTTATTCTTTGTTTATCCACAGTTTTTTTATTTGTATTTATTGATACCCATTGATAAAAATATCGAATCAAATTTTATGTATACTATCAGAAAATATAAAGTTATAGAATAAGGAACACTTTTTGTTAAAAAAAATGTCGTGATTATATAAGAATATAATATTTTTTATATTCCTTTTAACATTTTTTATACTACTTTTGACGATATAACTAATAGTGCACTTGTATGAATAGCCAAAAAAAAAAAACAAATGTTATGATAACCTCCTTGGAAGTTATAGTATGAAATAATTAGGTATTTAATTACCGCAATTTATTCTATTGCATTCAATATATAATCGTGTTTAAAATTCTAAACAGAAATATAATACCTGCTGATAAGTAATACTGCACAGGGTACGGTCCGTAAACTTACTCGTTTGTTTTCGTAATATGTACCGTAAGCAACCCTAGCTGTGAGTGCAAATAAATATTTGCTTGTTAAACAATATAAATCTGAAATACATTCGATATTGTTTATATTTGTTCAAGTTAAATTGTTTTTTGGATTACGTACGTTTGTGTCAAATTGTTTGATCGTAAGTATATTGTAATCCCTTCACTGATAGTAGGTAGTTTTTATACACAATTGTAGGTATTTTGAAATTATATTATAGCTCTGTCAATAAAGAATTTAATTATTGTACTTCTCATACTTATGAATTTTAGTAGAGACGAAAGTGGCCTAGTAATTATAAGATACTACCACTCTCAGATGTAGTATATACTCTTTTTTCTAATGAGTGGAAATGGAATGGTAACCCCGCCTGTATTATCAGTATACACCGGTAGAGCGCCAGTGAGGGATAATTGGTAAACCTGAAAGTAATTCAGCTAGTCCACCGTGCTCAATTCGTTTGGAATAAAGCAGTATAGTCTTCAAGGGGAACCGGGAAAGATTGACCTGACAGGGTATATTGCTAGCAAAAGGACTATAAATCCCTATTACTAACAATCCCTTCCCTACTGTAAAATATACTTGTATGCAATAACAAGCACACGTATTATTAGTAGTGGTATTTAGTATCCTCAAATTTCTAAATTAAAATACCTAATGCATATTTTGAATCATTTTAAGAAATAATTGTTAATTATTTTAAACTTAATTATCATCATCTTCATATTAGCTACCAATTTTAAGAACTATTGCAAAATTAAGATGTTGAACAAACTGGTCTTTTTCGACATTGCAATATTTTACCTGTACATCTACAATTTAAATACACATTTCTTGTTCAACAACGAAATTAATCATGCTGTATATATGAGGGCGGTCGCAGGTTTCCAGTGGTTTTTCGCTTGTAAACCGTGTCCTATTTTATACCGTGATTACACAGTACATCTTTAGTTTTTACATCACATTTTGTTTATACATCTGAATAATAAATAAATGTGTTAATAGTATAAGCAGTATCTAGTAGTAAGTAATAAGAGAAAAAGAAACTCAATTCTTCAAAATTCTTCAAAAATAAAAACTACTTTATGTGTTGGCGCGTCTTTGTTTATAATATCTTATTATATGGTAAAATCTTACATCACAAAGTATAGCATTTTTAAAAATTAAAGTACAACGGCAAATTTATCCATAAGCATATTTGAAACGTTTCAAAGTCTACAACAATACATTTGTGAAATGACTCGCTTGATCACAGCTCAACGCGTTAAAATTATTCTATGAAATAACAATTCTCTAAGCGGCACGTTGCTGGTTATTTTTGGAGAAAATTTATTCTCTAATGATGCACATTTGTCTGTATATGTACAGAATTCATTGATGAAAAAACAAAACCATAGGTGTGAGAAAAATAATTATTTTGCGAATGCTTTTTTAAATATATTATTTTAAGATTATACATTATATAATATTAAATTTTTTATAGACAAAATATTAAATTAAGAAAATATTACTTAACTATACATACTATATATGTAGTTAAATAATATTTTATTATGTACTTATTATATTACTATGTGATGATTGCTGCAAAATGTACGTAGGCGTTTGATATAAATTATTTTCCCCTCGAGTCTTCTCGTATGCTTCATTATAAAATGCCTTTAATCATACTAACGTATATTAAAATACTTGAATTAAGTAATTTCAATAGATTTATTTCATTACATTGAAAATGAATTAATAAATTTATTATTACTGTATCAAACTTTATTATGAAATTATATCTAAAAGTTTTTAATTAGAATGCTCTAAAATGTTTTCTGTTCTCGTAATAGATTTATTTATATCGTATATATACTTATGTATTTATTACTAATTTACCAGAGGGAGATATTGTAAAAAAGTCATTTGCTTGGGCACTTCTGTCCCATCCGCGTTTCTACCGTGCAGCAGTTGTATTTGCCTGGTTGTGTTTCAATTTGAAGAGTGGGATATGATAGTGAATTTACACCCTGTAAATATAACACCTGAGAAGAGGAATAATAGCTGAGTCCTCAGGAATGGCAAGGCATAGAAAGTATCATGGGCTAAACAGTATATTCTGTTATGTTCATGATATTGCTCATGTCTATAGGCGTTGGTTGCCACTTCCCATCAGGTGGCCCGTCAGCTTGTTTGCTTGCATTCTAAGTTGCAAAGAAAAAACTAAATTCAGTAACAAATAACAATATCAACGTATACAATCATCAACGTATATATACGTATACGTATATATATATATATATATATATATATATATATATATATATATATATATATATATATATATATATATATATATATATATATATATATATATATATATATATATATATATATATTACCAGGCTTTTTTTTTGAGAACATGGTGAAAAACAAGCTGATCTACCCAGGAGTTCACGGTTACGTTAATGATTATAACCCTAATGTGGACCCGTCGATACTTGATGAGCACGCCACAGCTGCTTTTAGACATTTCCATACTCTAATTCGAGGATTCTTAAAGTATGTACTTTTTTCTTTTGTATGATTTATTAATTTTTCTATAAATTTGCTGTGATAACTTCTATTTAAAAAAATATACTCATGGCAAATATATAATAATTTATAGACATTTATTTAGCAACAACCGTCCTTTAGGATAAAAACCATAATAGTTGAAAAAGAAGAAATAACACTGTTTAGCAGAATTTGTTATGTAATTAAAATATAATTCATCTATTTATGTTCATAAATGAAGTAGCAATTTACATTAAAGTAAATAACAACCATAAATTGTTACATTACGCGTGTTGATCATGCAAAATTTAATTCGTACTTAAAGGTTTATCCAAACATTGCTAAAGATTAATTATTTTGTTCTTCATTTGTAGACTGATTACGGAGAATCGTTCTCATACTGGTACAGTGCGTATTAGCGACTGGTTCAACCGACCTCTGTTGTTGGAACTTCACAATTCATTCGACAATTTGGCTAGAGGTCTTACAGCACAGCCGCAAGACTTCAGTGATCAGTTCTGGGATAGCGAAATAACACAATTTTTGTTCAAGTAAGTGCAGTCTTGTTTAGTTATTATTTTATAGATATTAAATTACCGTTAATTTATAAAGCATTTATAATTTAATTTAAGATCACAAATAGCCGTAATTGTTTACCTGGAAACGAAATGAAAGAAGTTATTCTAATTTATGATTTTGATACAAGAGGCTTCCATTTCATTACTTAGAGAAATTACTTTCATAATCGATTGCTGTATTTTTCATACAAATTAAAATACCTGAAAACGTGCTCAGGATATTAATTGGTATCAGCATTTTAAAATCAGGATCTCATAGAATTGCCTACGTAATGGACAACGTAGGATGCTATTTGTGTTGTCTACTTTTTTTTTGTTTAGGGTTCCATATTAAAATTTATGAACTGTAATAAAACAAAAATTTTGACCATTTGTCTGATTATCTATTTGTATGTCAACATCGCAGTTTTTGCACTTCTAGTTCATTATTCAAAAAAAAAAAAACTGTTACGTTATCAGTTCAGTTCATTATTAGTTCAGTCATCTGTAAGGTAGAGCTGCTTTACTTCTCTATACTTATCCGAAATGTTCCAATGAAAGAACATCCGATAAAAATCAAAGTCTGTCTTTGAAATGCGTTCAAAAGGAGCTTTTCAAATGGGATCGTAAGTAGCAAGTATTTGTTTATTGTGCCTTTTCACGAGATTTGAGTTTTTTGGTGTAGAAAAAGTAAAATCCTGCTATTTCAAATAATAGGGTAAAGACTGTGATTATTTCTCTCTCATTATGTTATCGAGCGCGTGATATATACTATTTATTCTATTTAAGAGCTGTGTTTTTGTAGGTGAAGCTCTTGCTACTCACTACGATTTTCAACGAGTCTCTTCGCTTCTTAAAACAACTCAAAACCAACTTTTTCCTTAATCTGCCTGTAACTATGCCTTGGTCTTCCTCTTCCCTACTTTCCTTCTATCTTACCTTCTATTATAATGTTCATAAATTCGTCGTGTCATATCAAGTGTCCTACCTAATATGTGATATATCAATATAATACGATATATACTACGAGTAATAAGTATGGGAATTTGAAGCTATTTATAGAGCTTCATTATAATTATTGTAATAAGACTTAATTATGTGTTCAGTAAAGATATACTTGTATTTTAATTTACTAATGGGTATAGATTTCTCATATTTTTTTTATTTACCATAAACTTTTTTTTTACTTTCTTTGTACACAATTGTCATTTTATTTAAAATATCTTTTTACATTAAATTTATTACAGTTTATTTTTAAATCTAATTTAATAATAATAAAGTATCTTAGATAAGCCTTAGGGTTTAGAGATTTTTCATGTTAGATTTTACTGCAGAATTTCAAATCTTGTAGGTTTTTTACAACATGATCAAATCCTTTTAAAACTTCGTCTATACTTTCAAAGACAACAAATTAGTTTTCAAAAGTTTAAATTTTTCGAAACCTTCAAGAGTTTGCCGTTTATTTAGTCAAAACAATGTTTTCGTCAACATTCGAGAAATCTCGTATAACTGTGTAATTGATTCTGGATTTGAATGTGGTAGATCAGTGAGAAATTTTTTTTGTGTGAAACATAAAAATAGTATTATGACAGGTCAGGTATCCGCGTACGACGGTGTAAATATACCTTCATGAATACAATTATCAGAATGATTTTAAAAGTATTAAATGTAATAAAACTCAATAGTATTATAATAAATGAAAAAAAAGTTAAATACGGACATGACGCTAATACTGTAACATTTTCAAAAGGACAAAAACTAGTAGTTTCATTTATTTTAATTGTCTTGCACTGTCACTGCATTCTTTTAAAATTATTTCACATTGTTGTGTAATAATAACAGAGGAATAACACCTGAGTCCTCAGGAATGGCAACGCATGGGGGCTATCATGGGCGAAACAGTATACTCTGTTATGTCCATGGTACTGCTCATGTCTATAGGCGACGGTTACCACTTTACATCAGGTGGGCCGTCAGCTTGTTTGCCATTCTAAGTTGTATAAAAAAAAAATGTCTGTGTATACTATCGCTATATTCGGAATAATTTTCAATGTTATGCAGCCATGAAATGTGTTTTCTTTTAAAAAAATATTGTTTGGCAGACGTAACAACACGTTTGGTGGCGACTTGCGTGCAACTGATATACAACGAGGTCGTGATCATGGCCTGGGAGGGTACGTGGCTACCCGTGCAGCCTGCGGTCTACCTGTTCCGCATAGCTTCCATGATATGCTTGACTACATCTCGCAGGAGGTAATTGAAATAATTTGCAACGTGTTATTCAAAATAAAAAAAAAATCTTAATGATACTGACCAATTACTTATAAAAGTGTCAATTAGTTACATATTGAATATTAGGGTAATATTCAAAACAGTATTGTTTTTATATACTAAATAATTATTATATGTTACGTAACTAAATAATGTTATCTGAGAAAAAAGAGTAATCATATTTTTTGTATTACGCAGTGCTAGCTAATTACAGCATAACTATAATTAGCTAGCATTTAGTAAATGTGTAATGTATTATTATTTAAAAAGCTGTTGCTATACCAAATAAATCAAATAAAAGAAAATATAATGTATTGATACCGATATTGAAAAAAAAAACTCTTCCAGAAATAATAAACCTTTTAGAAATTGTGTGAAAAACGTAATGTGCTTAACTTTTTTTATTTTATCTAACTAGGCTATCTATAGAAGGTCTGTTTACATTGTTAACTCAGTTGATTTATAAATGATAAAGCTTACGTGTTTATGAGTAATTTCCCCACACCCTATGATTTTAGTTCATAGTAAATTACTGTCTGTGTTTGTTCATTGTATTTGATTTCTCTTATTGAACATGATAATTTCTATGAAAATTACACTACTATAAGATAATAAGATATTAATATAACATAGCAAAATCAACTCTAATGGTACTATTAATAACTCTTGTAATAGATATGATGGTAAGTAAGGGATTTAGTCCGTTCATAATAATTAAAATACTTAGGTAATTCGTCTGATGCGTTTAAAGAGCCCCATTCTAAACGTTGATGGCAAAAAAGAAAAAGACAATATGTCCCTGTGTTATATTTTCCTTCTTATATTTACGAAAGGCCGCTAAAATAACACAACCAATTACAATAATCATATAATTTAATTATCTTTTATACCGAAAGACCGCTATTGTTTTCCAAGTCTATAAAAAAAATGTAAACGCCATTTAATATTCGAATTGTTTTTGTGCTGGCAACTGATTATTTCCTTTAGAAACAAAGAATTTTTCAAACGATGTCACGAAAGAATCTATTGTTAGCACCAACTTAGTTTTGTTGTAGCCTCATTCTTCGAAGACAAAAAAATAATGAAGTCGTAAAGATAGCATCGTTAGTTAAAGTAATTTGGGACACTGTTAATTAAAATGCTGTGAAAAACTATTCTTTTAGTGAAGAATGTTGTTTTGAATTGGAAGAGTAAAGAATTATATGATATATATTAAATACAAGACTTGCAAAGAAGTTAATCAAATCTACTGCAAAAAGAATCATCAAAATGGAAATCGTGTAAATTATAAACCAATTTACTTTATAATACTATTGAATTCAGAACCTCGTCCTTTTTGAAACCTTTTTGATACGTAGACTATTGAAATAATAGTAGCAATAGGTATTACTAGATAATTAAATGTAAGCTTAATAAACAAAGTAGATATATAAATGGAATAAGATATTATCTTGATATAACCTAACATTATTATTTCACGTATTTTATTGGGATCGGTGCAGATTTCTTACAAAATTTCTCTATTCAGCACAATTATTTTTAGCGCGTTATCTTTTTTTGTCTCTCACTAGTGATGCTTATCACTGCAAATCTTATTCGGGATTGAAACAGCGGAAGCAATCAGAGAGCTTAAGTGATACATATCTGACTCTTAAATCACTGCGCCTTCATTTACTTTATTAGTTCACGCCCATTCATTTTCACTATGCAATGTTGTGCTCACTTCACGGTTAAACCTTCATAAAGAACTAAACTTTGTACAAAGGTAAATGACTTTTGTAGAAATCTAATTATCAGGATACATATCTTTATCTCACTGTTACTTCTACCATCAAGCATGGTATATGTTTGCATGATTGTATTCTGCTTTGAAGGATGGAATATCTCTTCCCTTAACCCCGTAATTTTTAGTAACATTATGGGTATTTTTAGTAAAATTATTTATATTAATTATTATTATTTATATTAGTTTATATTAATTAACTTTGCATCACCATCAAATCATAGGGTCATCATCATTATCATCTCTGCCATTATCTGTCCACTAATAAACATAGGCTCCCCCATAGATTACCGTTCCTTATGGTAATCTATGGGGAAGCATAGATTACCATAAGGAACGGTTTTGAGTCTCTGACTGTCTACTGACTATCTGCAATGCATTTCATAGGAAATGATAGGGTATGAAGGAATAATACATTAGTTCTACGAAATGGCAACCTATAAATATCATAGTGTATTCAATAATGTCCATGTTGCATGTCTGTAAGCAACGGTTACCGCTTTCTATTAAGTGAACCGTTAGTTTATTTGCTGTCAAGTTATATAGCAAAAATATTAGCTACTATTTTGTTTTGTCGTTATGAAATTCTAGTAGTTTAAAGTTAAAACTCCATATTCAAGTAATATGATTTATACTTGCCTAAGTCGTAGTGTGGTAGTATTACTACCTGTCTAGAGTCTTAAGTTTTAAAGGAGTATTTTAAATCTGGTCGTAACCAAAAACTTTGTGTCTCATTTAAAATTTTTGTCTGGCTCTCTGAACTTAATCTCAGATGCGACGAAAACTTTTTTCCCTTAGTACCTATGTTGAATTCTAAATTTTATTTTACCCGATAGAATATAGTATCTCTATCATGTTATATATACGGTGTTCGATGATGTGAATGTCCCAAATCATGTTTTGGGACCTTCGTTCGCTATTCTTTTATACTGGGGTTATTTATCCCCATCTCATTTTTTATATTACTCCAAATAACCCTATCAAAAAAGCTCTCATTTAGTATACATTTATCATATGGTTATAAAATCAGATCTTTACATGAATTAACTACAGATACATGTATTTGAATATATAGTAGTTTATTAAATGCATGTATCAATATCAATTGGCTACTTGCTGATTTTTTAATAAACTTTACGAGATTTTTAAGTAGGACACTTATATGTATTGTATATTATATAAGTATATTTAACAAATTACTTAAAATCTTTCAAAAATACATTTCGTTCTCCAAAAATTATCGACAATTTTTATATTTAATTCTTAACAAATTATACATTACTTTTGTCTGTCAACAGAATGTAGAAGTTTTACAATCAATATACGAGGCGCCTCAAGACGTAGATCTTGTAGTTGGTGGTTCGTTGGAGAGGAATGTGCCAGGCGCCCAAGCTGGTCCCACCTTCCTCTGTATCCTTACGGAGCAATTCTATAGAACAAGAGTAGGTGACCGGTACTTCTATGAGAATGGAGTGGATCCTGTTACTGCTTTTACGCCAAGTAAGTTTTAGTACATTTGTTTTCTGCTAGTTTTATCGCTGACAGCTTGATAAATATTGTAGATAAAAATATTTTTTCTAATAAAACAAATTCTAGTCTTTACATTCTATTATCAAACCGTTTTGTTACTACATATATGTGTAGATAAATGCTATTAGTATAGAACACAATAGCTATGCTAAAGTAATTTTCCTTATTTTGACATTTTTTATGAAAAGAAAAATGTCTTATCATTTCCTTTTAGTGTTTAACATCAAAGTAGACAGATATGTAGGTATAATTTGTGTAGCCGTAACTAGCTATATCCCGCAGCTTTCGTTCAAATCTATTTAGTAGTTTTTATGTGAAAGAGTAACAAACATCCATCTATCCAGCCTTGCAAACTTATGAATTTATTATATCAATGGGATATAACAATCAATAGTATATGATTTTTTTGTAATTTATTAATAACTAGTAGTATTTTACGGCTTCGTTGGCGTAAATTGGGATAATAAGAATAATTATTACCTGGATAGAGGTCTGGTATTACCTGGATAGATATATATATATATATATATATATATACTATATTATTATTATGCCATCTCCACATTTCACCTCGTAAGGAAAATATTTATAAATTTCCTTTCATAGTGTTCACCTACGTTTTTCTATATTGAATTCCTGTTAAAATGTTTATTTTTTAGACCTTTATAGACTATTAGTTCTCTCAGTCATAATTTTATTAAATATATTTTTTCTATTAATTAGGTCAATTAGAGGCCATCCGCCGAGGGGCGTCCATGGCGCGGCTCTTGTGCGATAACGTGGATAGCGTACAGATAATGCAACCAAAAGCCTTCCAACAGATTAACCCAGAGTGAGTATAACATATATTCCCCTTTTACCCAACTTTTGATTTTGTAAATAGACTAGCAATCCGGTCAGGTTTTGCACTGGTACATAGAATTAATTAGCTTTAGCATTAGCATAGCTTATGTTACTCGTAGATAATGTAGCTTTTTATAAGTAAAAGAACTTTTAAAATCGGTTGAGCAGTTTTTGAGTTTATCCGTTACAAACAAAAAAAAAACAAACAATCAAATCTTTCCTCTTTATAATCTTTTATTTTTTTTATTACTTTTTAGTATATGTTGTTGAATTTTATGTATCTCTTTTACCCCCTAGATAAAGTAAAAACGAATCTATTGAGATAATCATCATCGCTAGCAAGTTCATTAGATAGAATAGGATACCGACATGTGCTGTCTTATTCTTTCTCATCTGAGCGCTGATTGAAGCGATTTTATCTGTAGATTCATAAATTTCATTCACAACAAGTTAAAATCAATTCAGAGTGTGTTATTTTGTAGATCACATAAATAATCCACCGTACGGCCTATGGTTTCGGCATAGAATAGATCAATATCTATTCTATGCCGAATGAATGAAATGGAAGGAGTAGCCTATTCCAATGAATAGGCTACTCCTTCCATTCCCGTGGCTGACGTAAGAGGCGACTAAGGAAACTTAATGATCGAGTAATGGGCAGCAGCGTCACTATTAAAACATCACCAAAGCCTGACTGTGGCTGCCAACCCGCCTGGTAAACGTGGCAGCTTCTGGCACAACCCCCTTTATGGGGAGGCCTATTCTCAGCAGTAGACAGTTAATGGCTGAGATGATGATGACTCGTAAACAAATATCGTCATTTGAGCCATTATTCGTATATTTCTGAACATAGACCTCCCCAATAAACTACCATAAACGCATCATTATGAATACCACAAATTAATGTTCAACAAAAATCGTGTTTAGAAACTAACGCAATAAATAATATAATCAAGTGCCTTTGATTTTAAACGAAAGGTACTTCACCTAAAAGTACGCCAATATTCTTACAGGAATTTCTTTTTTAATTAGTTCAGTTTTTAATTTCAGGTAATATTTTAATATTTGTAAAGTAATGTAAAAAACATTACAAATATTAAAATATTACCTGAAATTATGTGTTTAGTTGTAATATAAATATTTGTAGCATTTAAAACGGAACCTATTATTATTTTCAATATTTACAATTATATTTCGTTTTAATAACCTTTATCTTTTAGGCTATTTATATTTAATTTTGTTACAGAAACAAGCTAACACCATGTACAAATTTACCTTTTGTGGATCTAACATTATGGCAAGATGCAAGAAGAAATGGGAAATAGCGTAGTAGATCTAAATTAAAACATGTTCCAAATACATTAAGGTATTTATTTGTACGATGAAGTTACCACACCGTATCATTGCATAACTCCTTATTGCGATAAATTTTTTTATCTGTTCTTATTGAATAAAAATGGAAAAAATGGTCATCTTGCCTTATTTATTCGAATGTAAGTTTCTATTTGGATATTTAATACCAATTATAACTCGTGATTTCGTTCTTGTGACCGAGATATATTGATTGTCCGAGAAAAGTGCCTAGCAAATGTCATTCCGCATCCTAATTACTACCGCCATATTAAAGTTTTAAATGTTATAAAAAGGAAAACATACGTACTTTCAGATTTATAATATTATTAAGGATTATTGATCATGGTATGGTAATTTTCAGTTTTTATTTCAGAACTGTTGTCTCTACCATTATTTTTTTTAAAATGAGTGTTGAGCGATATTGTTATTTAGAATAAGCTCAAGAACATAATAAAAGATTATGTACATAACCTATAATTATAGGCATGGTAGTGAAAATAGTTGTGGTAATTGTACAAACTAAAAACACTAACTAACGTTTGACACGTAGTTTTGTTTTAATTTATAATGAGCTCAATTTTAATTTCGTCAAGTTAATTGTAGATCTACTTAGTGGGACCAAGTAGAAGTCTTATAATTACTTTGAAAATTTCCTATTTAAATCTTATTCTTATATAATATATAGAAACTATATAATGTTTTGCTCACGCGGTTCTTTAAACAATTTGCCTACAGAATTATAAGAGGCTGGTAATGTACTGGTAACCTCCGTTCGGTGCCAGTATTCATGGATGACGGTAGTCACTTCCCATTAGGCGGACCCACAGCTCGTTTGTCTCTATATAAAAAATATACTAAATACATTTGTAATTCTTACTTATATAAGTATACATTATAAAAAAACATTATAAATTATTATTCATATAATTGTCATACTTCCTCCTACCTATAAACCTACGACATTTAAGTGGGGCGTGAAGAGATACATTTGTAGACTATCAAAATAACAGTCGCTAACACAGTATAAATTGCTGTGATGGCGAACTTCACATTTGGACCACATTAGCTGCTTACTATCAGGTAGGGTATGGTCACTTTGACCAGCCCCTATAAAAAAATATCCTTCCGACATATTAATGTTAGGTTAGACTTTTTCTAACCTAACATTGTACATAACATAATGTCCACCTACTTGGAAAAAAGATATTGTTGTAGAAACTACACATATATACCTACTTAATAAAGTCGCAAAAATGTTCTTTTTCATAAGATTAACTTTCGTACTTACGTAAATGTACCGCAACGTACTCTGAAAGATTAATTTTCCGCAAGGTGCGGCCATCTAGTTTAATGAACCTTGGAAGCTGTGCACGTGGGTTGATACGTTTTGTCATATTACCTATACTAAGCCATTTGGCATGATATATATATTTTAACTTTACCATTTTGCAAAACATGAATTGTATCATGGGCTCTATTATATTCATGGTACTATTCATGTCTATAGGTGATAGTTAATGCTTTCCATCAGGTGAGCCATCAGCTTGTTTGCTATTCTAATTTGTATACAAAAAAAGTTACATTCTAAGAGATAATGAATGCTTGATATTGATATAGTGCTTACGTTGAAACCGGTATAGTAATTTTATATTTAAACAAATGCGACTAATTATATCCTGGAAATTATGGTGAAAATAATATATTTAAATTAACTCTGATTATGATTAACTAGAAATGTGGAATTTAAATTAATTAAGCTAAATGTATATTTTATTTAATTACAGTATCAATATTAATATAATTTAATAAACCAACAATAACAGTATAATTAAATCCTTTATTTATGTAAGTATCATATAGCTGATTTGTGCTAAAAATTTAATTGATAGCTGTGATAGAAAAATGGTACCTACTAAAATACTATTTTTTCAAAATAGCACGAAAATTATAAAAGAAAATTTTACAATGGAGAATACTTAATAAACAAAAGCAAATGTTTATTCTGAATTTTTATTTATTTATTCACATTTTGTTATTTAAATTGACAATGTTTTGCTTTTGCAAATCAGTTTGTGATTACATAAATTAAATAAATTATTACTTAAGTCATGAATTATATGTGGAAATATTGCAGTGTAAATTTATTAATTTTTTTTTTACATTATGATCCTTTGTAATATTAATAATCAATATACACATATATATAAATATATGTTACTGTATAATATGATTAAAATAAATATTTACTTAACATAGTTAAATTAGTAACTAACATGGAAAATGTAAGTTTAAATTAGCGAAATGTGCTTTTTGATAATTTACATGTATGTAAGAAATGTAAATAAAATTTTATATTTGTACTTAATTGGATTGTTTTATTACACAAAATATTTATTAATTCTTTATCAAATTTTTATGATTTCTTGATTGAATGATAGGGGCCAAGTCAGAAAAGGAGGTGTAGAACTTTTTTAAATTTACTTCGGTTTATAGATGTTTCGGATTATGTCATTTATTCTTATTCAAATTTAATATCTGATTTCTTTTATTATCGAGTGTCCTAGCTTAAGGACCACACAATTAATAGGATTATGAAAAATAAAAAAAATATCGATTTAAGTAAATAAAATATACAATTTTATAAAGTTCAACTCCACTTATTATACAAGTAAGTGATTAATAAAATAAATACAAAAATTGGACTAATATCCAATGAAGCAGTAGCATAGTTATCTTGGGACGTAGCTACAGTGTCTACCTAATCAACCTACTATATGTTAAATTGTAAAAGTTTCTATTAACAAAGTTGTCAATAAATTATAACATCACTGTAATCTAAAAATAGGGTGTCAGCGGCTTCTGACCTTATTCAGGATTACAGTCGAGATAGTACTCAAGACTATTATCACTTTCATCATCATTATGAAAAGCTATTATGATCCCACTGGAGGCACAATGGCCATAGGTTTTACTCTTCTCCCAAGGCGGCTTTGTGCCAATAAGATTTTATTTGTAATTAGTGATCCTGCCCGGCTTTGCACTGGTAGATAGAATTTTTTTGAAAATAATATTTTACTCGCTGATCGCGGTTGAGTAGTTTTTAAGTTTCTTCCTTACAAACAAACAATCAAATCTTTCCTCTTTATAATTTTAGTATAGAAGTACAGATATTAATAATAATTTATTTAGCATCATACATATAGTACTAGTAGTACAAATACAAGTAGATGACGAAGTAACACATAAAAATTAGAGATTATTATCAAACAAATTATGGATATTCTGTAAAGAGAAATGAATAGTGACTAACTACAAAAGTCATTGAATTAGAATACAGTAAGTATTCAGTGACTTTTTGTGCAAGCTAACAAACTTAAATGTAAGCATTAGAACGGTTTTATCTGAAAGGGTATACTTATAGAAGTTTTGCCTGATTAGTACCTACGCAGATACGTTATTAAGTTTGCTCTGTAAAAAAACAGTGACTGCAGCGACTTGACTTATTGTAAAATTAATATGGAATTAACACGGATGTGAATCCTATAAATTTTGGCGAGAATTGAAAGGTCGAAGCAGCGAAGTCGAGGCTAAATGTACTCAAAAATATAGGTAAAATGAGATTTTCTTTTTGTTTAAATTGCTTATAAGTAATAATAAAATTGTAAATTATGTTTTAAAAATTTAGTCTATTCGTGTAATTTTTACGTAGTAAGCACAAGTTAAAATCTTCCGTAATTAACTTACATTGCAATTTAGGTCAACATAGATAATACTTACTTTAAAAAATATTTCGCATTTGTAAAAGTTTCTTCCGGCCATAGAATTTTATTAATATTATACCTAAATATAAAAACATGTAAAGATATTTAGATGTAAAGTAACCATTGTTTTATTAACCAATTAAATCGTTTAATTTTAACTGTGTTTTGTCCGTGAGGTCAGGGTATATTGATCAGAGTAAAAAATAAAAGTTTAATAATGGTTTAATGATTGAGCTATTAAGGCACCACGAGGTATTTTAAGTGGTAACAAACAAATTGACTTTTACATTTATATTATTAGAGAAGATTGTGTTATTATTGTTCAACTAGCTCTTAGATCTTTAGTATTAATCTATGTCAGTATTTTGACAAGGAAATTAAAAATTCATTTGCATTGTTTTAAATTTCCACTGGGAAATTAAATTAAAATAGAATCAACTGTAAAGAAGCCGCAAAGGATCTAAACATATAAATGTAAGTAACAAAATTTCATTAAAATCATTATTTAATTAAGAAATATGTATTAAACTTTACATTGTTTATTTATTATAAAAAAGATCAGTAATAAATGAATAAATCCTACTTCTAATAATATGATAAATATGAAAGTATAATTTTGCATTGATAATGTAACTCTTTTTGTTGTTGGCAATAAATGTTTTCTTTCTTCTTTCTTTCTTCTTCTTATATAAAAATGTTTTCATATTTGTATATTTAGATGTTTACTACGTGATCACACTTTAACGACTGAACAGATTAGAATACATTTTCAGTATAAAGATAGATGTAATACTTTTTTATTACAATTCGTGTGGGTAAAATCACGAGAAGGAGCTAGTAACAAATTATAATTAAAAATAATTATTTTTAATTGGAAATCTAAATTTTTATTTATGATACAGTTATTGTTATTTAAATAATGCAAAATGTCAAAAAATAACAATGAAGCCCAATAAAATATATAATAATAATATTTCATCAGAAAACACCTACTACTAAAACAATCGACATGGGCCATTAAGTTTTTTTGGCCAGTTCCATTTTTCCCTACCAACGTTTCCCCACAGGGGTTGGTGACGTGGTAAATTTGTAATGCATCCTTTTTCATAGTCGGTTAGACTCTCGACAAAGTCACTTACAGTTGATGAATGAAGGCGACCCGGGATCGGACGGGGTCGTATACTTTCAGACTTTAACAACAATGGATTATCTGTTGTTGATTGAAATATACCTAGTAATCTAGATGGCATCGAGTCGAAATCATTTGCGTCTTTTCTAGGGCAGTTTGCATTAAGAATAATAAGCATTTTTACACAATAAATACGAACAATAAAACTATAATAACTTTGTATAAATAACAAATATAATATTTAAAATATTCAAATTTTTATTTTTATTTTTCCAACTGTTAAGTTAGTCTAGAGGTGAAAATTTCTGTTACTAAGATTATTACATCAAAAAAGAAGATTTCTCTTTTCCTATAATATTATTTTTACACATTAATAGAATACGCGTCGCGAATAAATAACCAGACGTGCCACTGAATATTGACAACACAATTGTAGGATTGATTCGTTTAAGTTAAATAGATTGAACAAAGACTGAAAAAGTGCTTGAAAAAGTAAAAGTATAAAAAAACTTCCAAATAATGAACGCTACGTACTTGAACTAAATTGAGTTTGGGTTTGATTAAAATTGAAGCATATAATGTAAAAATGAAAGGGACTACTCGATTTCAAACTTTAAACCAGTGCAATGGATAAAATTGAAAAGTTTTCTTCAGATGTTCGAATATTTACCACAGTATTTTCACAGCTATTGATAAATAGACCCTAAAGTTTGTTGACATGTTTTGTTATCTTGGACGACTTTCATTTAATCTTAACGAATATAAATCTCTTGAGAATATACTCGTATTACATAATTTGTTTAATGCCTCTTATCGTAAGTAAATTTAGACGGACAGCTATAATAAATAAATTGCCCTAGACATACCATATAGACTTAGAGAGCTTTTTAAATTTAATATAACGGGATTAAAAAACATCGCAGCATATTAAATTAAATAATGGTTAAATTAACTACTTATTATGATCTAAAAATTGAACTACTGAACTGATTTTAATATAATTTCTATAGTACCAATCTGTAAGTATATCCTTTCAGATAAAAAAACTAATTGGTATAGAACTGACGAAGTCATGAGATAACAAAGATAAAAAAAATATAACCGAATCGAGAATCTCCTTCTTTTGAAGTTGGTTGGTTGCAAATGTTAATTATCAAGTACATAATCAATATTGTTACAAGAAATACAATACTTTATTTATACAAAATAATAATACACTAAGTACGATATGATATCTTATTAACAAGCGAGAGAATATATATCATAATACCTACACTCGTCGAAGATATAGTAAATTTAATGAATATTATACATAATAATATATTATGTAATCATATTTTAATTGAGGTGGAATAGGTTGACTACCACCTTACATAATATTAGGTTTAATATTTAATAACTACAGTCTCTACAATTATTTATTTATTACATTAATAACAGACAATAGAGACAATAGCAGAGAAAAAAACAATATGGATAAAAATGGCGTTTGAATATAAATAATGCGTCTACTGGAATATAAATAATTAAAAATATAAAAGTGTAAAAAGTTAATATTATATAAATGAATAAAGAAGAATATAAGATAAAAGTGTATTTTAATCATTTGAGTGACAAGCTGATACAACATTTGCTTAGCATACCACCAATCAAACGATACATAATAAATAGTAAGTATATCTGAATTATAAAGTAAAATGACAAATGTTCCTAGTTATTTTTAAATCACATTTGCTTATGCATTTTATTAAGATATAGACGCTTCGTATCTTATTATAGAAGGCACATTTATAGGTAGAGTAAATATTTAACGACTTCTGTGACCCACAGCGTTACCGAGGTCATCAACTTTTCCATTTGAAAACTAAACCCATTTATTCCCTCCCCTAATGTAAATTGCAGTAGCTTTTGTAATTTATTAGAATACATTACTCAAATACATAGTAATGTAGGTATAACGTTTGAAGTCTACTGATTAAGCATTATTTTATTTAGTCCCGCCACTGTTATCAACTGATTAACTGAAAGACTGGTGTAAGATTTTATACACATGTCATCTGCATAGATATTTGTATTCCACTTCTCTTTTTGATATCAAATAACTTTGTACATAGATGTGTGAATGGAATATGGTAAAGTTATGGAAGAATAATTTTCACAATCAAGTTTTACTATCATGAGTAACACACAGTATTATTCTATGATGTTCATGCTTTTATATTTCATATGTAGAACAATCTTAAAATTAAATATAAAAGTTAAATAAGGTTGAAACAAGAAATTCTTAGAAACAATGTTGATACCTACTAGAGTAGAAGATCGCCGAAATATTCAAACCGAGAAATTTGTCAACAATTCTATATTTCCCTGACAATTAATTATTATCTCATTTAATTTTGTTTTAAATTAAATTATTGAATTGAACACTTGTAAAAACGATCATGTATATCATCAGTTTTACACGTGCTCATTTCA